TAAAAGTTTCTAGTTCTCTCCATAAAAGAGTATGGAGTCACTTCCATGCTGGCAGACTTGTGGAGAGATTTTACGAAAATTTCAAAAGTTCGTTTCATCTTTCATCCCACAAATCTTTGCCAGGGCACTTTAAGATGCTCTCTTAAAATATCTTGGTTAGTAAAGTTATAACTTTCAGACCCTAAACATGTTCTTTTTATTTAGACAAAATAAACTTGTCCATATATATCTGTAACTGGAATATTTTAATTATACAAAATTCAATGCAGTTATAATATAAAATTCCTGAAGTTACTACATGGGTTATTATTCTCAAAACACAGAAACATTCTTTCTTACTTTTGTTTTTTGTGGTGCTGGGGATGAACCAGGGCCTTCCACAAGCTGGAAAAGTGGCTTTTCCCTAAGACACATCCCCACACCCACAAAAAGCTTCTTTGGATGGTGATGATGATGATGATTTTGCTATGTCTGTAGATTATACCCCGTCACATATGACAACACATTAATTAAATTATAATAGAACCAAGCCACAAATACTAAGTTATCTCTGGATGAAATATTAGTGGAGATAATTACTTCTCAAAAGCAATCATAATTTATCAGGAATCAGATATAAAACATTATATTTTCACTTTATTTTCTATTAAATTAAAGTTGGTTCTGCCCAATTAGAGCTGGGTTATTTGAAATACTGTTTTTTCTGCATTCTCCCATTCTTTCAAAAGCATTGCTTGTCCACTTGTAGCAATGCAATTTCATTTCCTCTAATCCTAAAATGTCTGTGAAGCTCAAAACAAAGCCAGGCTTCTGTACTATTTGTCTGACTATATATCGCATGACTGACTTCTCTATGAATTGGCTTTTGTTATACGCAGTTTTTCTACTGAAAAGAAGGGTTGTTTAGACACACTTAAACTTTTACACAATAATATATGCTGAATCTTGCCATGCCTGAATTAGTATTTTCTTTCATTCATTTGTCAGTTTACACTGATAGCTTGTAAAGGCCAAACCCTATGCTGGGCTTTGGAGATAGAGAAATAAAAATGATTTCATCATGAATTTCTATAAGTTCTTACTCTAGCAAAAGAAATAAAAAATCCATGTAGAGCCAGGCATAGCGGCATGTGTCTGTAATCCCAGCTCTCAGGAGGCTAAGGCAGGAAGATCACTGCTAGTTCAATGCTCGCTTGGGCTAGAAAGTGAGGACAAGACAAACTTGGACTGCACAGCAACATCCTGTCTCAAAAAAAAGGATGTGGTATTTTTTAAAATATAAAGTTAGATGTAGAACTAAGTAGAAGCACAAAAGAAGCAGACTTTTTGCTATAATGGGCAGCATCTATATTACCCTAGATAATGAGAGGTCTGAAAGAAAGGAGATGTCCCTTTGGCAAGACTCAGGGGAGTTCACGAGTGTTCTAATAAGAATCAGGTATATAAAGGGGAGACAGATAAATAATACAAGCAGGTCAGTGGCGTGGGTCCATTTGAATTTTAGTGTCATAACTGTTAAATCTTGGCATGATAGATATTAGACAGGTATTTCAGGACAAAATAGTATAATATGGACTACCAATGGATGGCAATACGTAGCAAGAGAAAAGAAAAGTTTGAGAGATACTTTGGAGTCAAACTACTAAGAACTGATGATTGAATCAAGCATTCAAAAACATGCTTTGAATGCTTATGAGCCTTCATGCACTCTTTCAGGTATTATGAGTAGAGCAGTTGAAGAAATGAAAGAAAAGTAAAAATCCTTTCAACTCTTTTGGAAATTTACCTCCCAAAGAAATGAAGACTGGCAAAGGAAATAGGAAGGGATGCACTGGATCATTTTATAGCAAAGTCAGAAAGAACTCATGAAGAGACAGTGAACAGAGATGTGACTAAGGCAGTACAAAGGAAGGGCCAAAAAGAGAACAGAATGCAGTGCGTTGAAGTATGGGAACGCTTTCATGTTTCACTCTTTAGCAAAATACTGAAAAGCATAGTTGGGAGTATAAGTTAGTGTCTTAATAATAGTGCACATGCTATTTTGCTGGCCAAATTATGCAGCCTAGAGTCAATGCAGAGGCGGGGAATACATCATGCACATTCTCATCAGGCAGTGGTGGCATTTATTGAGAAATACTACTGGCTAACTGTGCCCAACAACTTCATTCTTAAGTCTTTTAAACAATAAAGTACAATTTTAACATTTGTCCTCACAATGATTTTTCCAAAGCCAAACAGACTTGGCTTTATCTGTGCTTTGAATCATCCATGAAATCCATTAAATTGGTAATGTAGAATTTATTAAGTTGTATTCCACAGCTATGTGAATCGGCAGGAAAATTCATCATGACAAATATTGTCCTTGTGAGAAAGTCTTCCTGATATCATCATGGGAAATATGTTTTATGTCTTCCAAATACAAATGGGAGACAAAGTCCACGTAAGGGTTTAAAAGAGGAAAGCACGAATCATTCTTTTTCGAAAAAACAGACAAGAGTCACTCTTCTGTGTCTCAGTTTGTCCATAAAAAAACTAAAATTCTTGATAGTGAGTGAACAAATGCACATAAAAACAGTACTGTGCCTTTATTAGTGACAATTAGAAGTTTCTCTTTATTTACTAGCTATATATCATATTCCTAGAGGTGGCACAATAGTACATTTTCTCTATTTTAGAAAATCAATTTTGAAAAGATATATTCTTAAAGTATCAATGTAAGTATCATAAAAGCTATAAAACTATAGTAAACTTTGATCAAAGCATTTCATTTAGAGAAAATCCTTTAGCTACCCTGAGAGCTTTTGCTAATACACTGTAAATTGTCTGAGCTGTAAATATCTCTTCTTCCCTGAAGATATTATTTCTCACCTGAAATAATTTTTTCCAAATTCAAACACACTTACATGCAGACACACATCTGTGAAAACTTAGAGGTGACTGATAGATAACACTGAAAAGATACATATATGTGGAATAATTTTGTCAATTCTATCTCCAAATCATACCTTGGAAACTCTTCTATTATTGCCACCATGCTTGTCTAACCAGCTCTTACATTTTACCTTTACTATATGCAATAATAGTCCCCCAACGGCTTCTTTGCCTTTTTAAGTTTTCTGTGCACAGTAGTTAAAGTGATGTTTTAAACACAGAAACTCAATCATATCACTCACCTCACCCCCAGCTGCTACCTGCACTTGGATTAGATTCATGTGCTTAACTGGTCCCAAAAATTCTCCAACCTTCAATCCTTTATCACCCAATTCGATTCTCACTCCACTCCTTACAGTGAAACTGAAAAGCGTGTGTCTCATCTCTCTCCCTCTGACTCTGCCAGAACATCTCCCCTGACTATCACAGCATGGACACCCACTGACTGAAGTGGCCGTTTTGTGTACCTTTAATATGACTGCTACCTTCTCACTCTTTGCATCTCAGATCTGTGGGAGAACTTTCCTAGAGTCTATCTAAAGATTTTCTATTCAGGGGTCTGGGGATTTAGCTCAGCGGCAAAAAGCGCCTGCCTGGCAAGCGCAAGGTCTTGAGTTCGGTTCCCGGTACCGGAGAAAAACCAAAAAAAAAAAAAAAATAAAGATTTTCTATTCAGTATCTTCAGAGCTAATCATGACTTAAAATTCTTTTTATGCACTTGTACAATAAACTCCACATGTCCCTGATTTTGCTATAATTCTAACATTGTAAACCCAAATCACAGAACAGGTACAGAGCAGGTGTTCCATATACTAGTTTCAAAAAATAAATAAATAAACCAATATACATGCCAAAGCTCTAAAATTCAGATTAGAGCCATCAAGATTTGGCTTCCTTAAAATGGATCCACTACTTGTTTGTGAAATGTTCAATGTTGCTAAAAGCCAAGTCATTTTAAACAATTCTGAAGACTAACTGAGGAACCAGATTAGGGCAATTATGGCACTAGAGAATCACTAAACTTTAAATTGGACTCATAAAATGATATGGGCATATATTAAATAAAAATGAACTTCTATATTGGCCATAAAGATGAACTATTACTTATCTGAATTGTACAATAGAAATGAATTCAGTACCATTTCTGACACTAAAGACCATGGATACTAAAGCCCAAACCCACCCATTTGTTTATGGAACTTCTCAGACACAAAATCTCTTTCCCTAATCCTCTGTAAAACTTCCACTCTATTTAATCTTAAACATAAAAAATAGTATGAAACATAGAAAAGGAAATTCATAAGCTTCATGGTAATTCTCACTCTCAGCCTTGTTCACCAACTTTTTTTTTTTTTTTTTTTTTTTTTTTTGGTTTTTCTCCGGTACCAGGAACCGAACTCAAGACCTTGCGCTTGCTAGGCAGGCGCTTTTGCCGTTGAACTAAATCCCCAGCCCCTCCAACTTTTATCCTAGGTGTACTTAACCTTCATTCCTTTCTCCATCCTCTCATATCTTTCAAATTCTTTCAACAAAGTCTCAAAAAAGGGTAGTCTTCCATTTGATTAACATTTTAGAACACTTTCCCAGACTGCCTCATTTTATTTCATACCATTTTATCCTATTCATTTGGGGGTACTTATATATTCTATGAAAAATATTCAAAACCAATTTTCTCACTGATATTCTGTTAACTACATCAGAAAAATTCAAGGCCCAATGCCCTCCATGCATATAACCATAACTCCAAATGCACCATAAAATATGTGCATTTGCCTGTGCTTTGGCTTTCTCACTGAAAGAGAACAACGGCACTCACTACCAGGAGCCAAGCAGCCAACATACAAAGGTGCACTACTGAGTAAAGAGTCAAAAGTCTGACATCATCGCAGTCCAGACAACCACTGGGATAAGGATGTGCGCATTTCTTCTATTTTATGAGTGGCCATGGACTATTGACAAGGAAGAACAAAAGCAATTATTAGTGAACAAGGCCATGAACTCTAGAGCTTGGACAAACCTCCTGAGCTTTGCCAGTGCTCTCATCTGTTATTTCTCATCCATCTCCTTACCAGAGCTGCTGCAGTAGGAGGGGTCGACAGGTCTTCCATTTTTATCAGAGCAGGCGATTGCTCGAAAACGTAGGCCTTCTCCGCATTCTTTGCTGTCTCCTTGTCCCCGCAGTCCCCACTGAGGCTCTCTTCTGCCTTCCGGAAGAATGCAATCTGACCAGTTTCCGGAAGGCTGAGATATAAATACATCACAAGGACACGGTTCCATCTGCACGAGTGGGTACAGGTCAACATCCTGGCATTTCTCCTTCTTTCTGCTCTTCCCTGTTCCAACAAGAGACATGGGTGCATCAATTTTATATCTGCCATTTTACTGAAAGTCATTCACATTTTTGCTTTCACAAGCTCTTAAACTAAACTTTAGATAAAATAACACTTTTCCTTTTTTTCACTATTGTTTGCCCTGGAAGGTAAACCCTCGGACAAGGAAGCAACTCCCAGGGCAATTTAAGGTTAATGTGAAAACAAAAGTGCTTTCTTGTTGAATCATGGTACAGAACACTTAGAAAATGTTTCCTAAAGGATCAATAGCTAGAAATCTCTTATTAATATGTTTAATATTACTTTCTATACATTTTATTGATAACATTGATTAACCTTGTCTCCATACTCCCTGAAACTAATAGCTGTCAGAAAAATTAATGAAATGCTCTGTGGAGTAACTCCCTTTTCTGCAAGTAACTTTTTAAACACAGTTTATTCAAAAAGCAAATGATATCCTCCTATACTATGATCTTAAAATAAGGGTAGAGAAGACTTCAGATGCTTTGGACAATGCTGGTAGTATTCATTTTGGTCCCTGTTATCATATAGCTAACAAATATTGGTACAGTACACTGTAATAAATTATAAAAACAAATTAGATAATTAAATCTGACAAAAAGCTATGTGTATTTGAGAAAGCCTTTTAACTTAAGTATCCTAGAATATAACTCTCCATTGCCAAGTGACTTTGATGGTTCTTTCAGCTGTGGCATTGACGTTGTGATGACAACAGTATCATTTCTCACAGCTGTGAATACCTGATAATCATGTTTAGTGGATTCCAACTCAGCATGTAACTTGATTCATTTTTGCTACCAACAGACTTTCTCTGGACTACTAACATTTCTCCTAGATCTAATAATTCAACCTTTGTTCTCTCATTACTAGTCATTAGCTAGAATCATGGCTGGATATAAAAAATGTAGGCAGCTTTATGGGTCTATTTCCTGTCTTTATGGAAGGTTGGTAAATCCCTGATACAAGCTTATGCATGGGCTATGCGGAATTGCCAGATGGTTTGCATCACACACAATTTTGCAACTGTTGACTGGATGATTGCCTCTATGTTCTGCCATGACACTCATGTTCACAATAGATAAGAAGGATTCTTATAATACCTAGAATTGGTGTGGCAATAGCTTTAGCCATCCCCTGTACCTTTGAGAATGTGTATTCACCCACTTGTACCATTAGGAATATTTATAGTAAGCTTGAAAAGCATGGCCTCCATCTAGCTTTGAGGATTTACTGGTTGACAGTTTTATCAGTGGGTAGCAATTGGTTTCTTTTTATTACCATTAGCATGCCCAATCTGTATTTTTCCCAAAATTCCAGTGAAACTCCTTGTCTCCACCTCTTTTATTTCTACTCTCTTCTAAACCCACCTAACCCTGGATTCAGAGTCTACCTATTTCTTGAAGTGATTCTTACCAAAATGATAAACAAATAAATGCAACTAAAAGAAACAGTTCTTTATCTTTCAGACAAGATCACTCAGTCATGGTTTAGTGTTGGCTGCATGCCATTCTTGAAATACCCTTCCCCAGTTCCATAAAAACATATCATTGTTGTCCATCACTCTTATGCTGTGGCCCCATGAATTTTTTCCTTTCTCTCTCTTAACTGTACCTCTCTTAACTGATGAGTTCCTCAGAGAAACCAATCCAGTTCACTTCTGATGCTATGTGCTTACATGCTTAAAGAAGTGTAAGTATATTTCTTAAATTCTAAATTATTACCTTTATGCTAGATTTTTTTGCTCAAGCTTTTGAGACAGAGACTAAAAAAGTCACATAAAAAAACCAAAGACCCCTAAGCATTTGAAATGTTACATGGTAACCATTAATCATATGTGGAGATTTCCACAGAATCATCCCAGGGAGACACTCTAGTAATACAGCCCCCGGCACAACAGATACTACAGCAGGGTACAACAATTGCACAGCAACTGTACAACATTATAATTATTGGTAGTAAAAATCTCACCATATGTCCAAGTACCTGTAAGCTCTATGAAATCCAGGTCTGCCCTGCCTATTTGCTTACTGTAAGGTTAACTAGAGATGCTCATTGAACAACTGAGAAAATGAAGTTGGAAAAAGAAACAAAGGAGAAAGAGGGAGTGGGAGGGGAAAGAAGAGAGAGTAAAAGACAAGACTGAAGATGAGAAGGCGATGGGAAGAAAAAAGATATGTATCAGGCAGATGAAGTTACTAGCAGAACAAATGTTCCGCACAAAGGGACACTGTCTCCGTATTTATCTTTTCTAATTACATGACATTACTGTGTGAAGAGGGATTGAAGCAAGTTAGTTAATGCAAAAATGATTCTCACAATAAGCAACAAATTATATGCAGTATTTAATTACATTTTAATCAAAATCAGTATTAACTTTCAGAGTCACAGCCAGCTGGTACTAAATCAATCACTAGCAAAAATCTAAAGACATTTAATTTTTCCTTAAATCAGACTGTTAATTTTATCATTATTATGAGTATATACACACACATATATACACATACATATCTATATATGCATATATGTGCATGTGTATGTAAATATGTGTGTACCTACACTTACCTCGAACGTATTTTATCTAATGATAGCATTGTATAAACCATTACAATAATTACCATTCTATTGAAAATTGTGCTTAGTGAATTAAAAGTCTCTTATTAAAAACTAGAAGACAAATAATACCCTAGAGTACCCCATACTCAAGACAGTGACCTGTATATGTGTTTATGTGCTCCTCTCCACTTGGCTGTGTTAAAGACTTGGTCAGATGGCTTTTCTGTCATTCATATTAGAGATAGTTTACTGCTAGTTTACACAGGAGATAAGAATACCCAAGCATTATGTTCACACTAGTGAAAATAAGTCTTAAAATGTAGAAATATCATTACTGATTGTATTTTTACAGCACTGATATTGAAAGATTCATTTCAGTGAATTTTGTTTCTGTCGTTAATGAATTTCAGGAAACCTCTTTGTGTGTGTGTGTGTGTGTGTGTGTGTGTAGACATAAAGACACACAAAGATCAGTTAACCATCTAAAGTAATGACAATTAATAGTTTAGAAAAATTCTAAATAGTCTTCTAATTTGAGTAGTTATTAATCTTCAGAGTTAACTTTCACAAAGTGCATTTTTAAAAAGTCAAATTCATTAAAGCTTTAACAATTTCTAACTGCTGGCTGTAAAATAAATAAGTAGCCTATGATTTTCCGTACATTGCATTCCTGTTTTACAGATGCCAAATATCATTAGCAAACCTTCAAGAGAAGAGGAAAAACCTGGCCACTAATTAAAAACTTTCCCTTTAAAGGCAATTCTCTCAACTCAGAGATTCAAAGAGTTCCTATAATAATGGCTTCTAACACATCATTGTACTGGCCAACAAAGTGTCAGAAAGTTGCTTCCCGAACTTCAACTTATTCTCTGCAGAAACATCCTGTTCTATCGTATTGTTTCTATAAGAAATTTGGTTTATCTTAATAATATAGGCAATGTTGCATAAAACTATACATCCATAAATTTTTGTGAATGAGAGAGCACAAATTTTGGTATACCTTATCTGATGTTTCTACTGTGATTATACATTTCATTTTCTCTTACAAATGCACACACAGATTGTGTGCAGAAATCCCGTGAAAGGCTCTAGTTGATTAAGTAAACCCATTACAGTGAGTTAAATTATAAATGTGATCAGGTAAGCAAAGCATTCAAACAAAGGAGCCGCAAAACCAAGAGAAATAGCACTTGAACTGCTCATGAGTACAAATGGTCATCTGTGCTTAATTCTTCAATGTCAACACCAATTTTATTATCTCACTGATTATTCTGGCATTTTTCTTTGCTTGTCTATTCCCTGAGTTAAATATTCTGCATATACAAATACATGTGCAGCCAAGACAAGTTTTAGCATATTATTTTGACAAGTAGCTTATGTATTACTGTACCAGGTCTTTGTATATTGTAGGCAAAACTTACTGACCCAGGACTTAAATTATTATTATTAGTAGTAGTAATAGTACCAGCAATCAAACTCAGGACCTTGCATTTGCCAGGCAGGTGCTGCACCGCTGGGCTGTATCTCTGGTCCATGATTTATATTATAAGTTGTTTTAATTTCCATTAATTTTGGCTGATGTATATAGAGCTGACAAATAATACTATGCTACAAAAACAGAGCCTATATATGCAATTTAAGTATTACTTTACACTATTAAAATTTTAAAGTTAGATTGCTTGTAAGATAAAAGCAAAAAATAATGTAGTTAAGGTCTGTCCTCGCTGTTCTAATGACTGCACTTAAGCTTGCTGAAATTCTGGGATGGTAAACCTCCAGAAACTTTGTCATTCGTTTCCCAAAAGATGCTGGTGGATAAAATGCCTCATCTGATTCAATGATTATAAAAGTATACAGAAAAAACTACTTTATCATTATAAAGTTACAACTATCAATTGGATGAATTTATATGTAAAGTGCTGCTCCAGGAGCTATACTAAGGGGTGGGACATATTAAAGGAAAAGGGGCTCACCTGCCACAAACTCTGGACCTTTGGAGTTTTTATTTGGCATGGCAGATTCAGAGAAGTATAAGTATAAGTAAAGATGGCAAGGCACACCCTACCTGTGAGCTGTCGTCGCCTGCTCTGAGTGGCTTCACAGTCCTTGGAGCAGGATGTAAACTTGGACCACGGAGTGAAGGTGCAGTCTTCTCGACATGGGACAGTACATTCTTGCACGAGGGGAGGCATGGCATTCGTCTGCTTCAGACATTCCATCATTTCCGCCGATTGGTTATCCTCAGAGACACACGAGACAGCTTCAAAAAAAAAAGCACACCTTCTTTTGTAACTATTTTGATTAAACCAGTGAGCTGCTGGTTCTTTGACCAAATAGTAGAATTCCCCAATGTTTATAAATCTCCTTTTCACTGTGATTGCACACAGTGTTCAACATAGCTAACCTTATTGCTCCCTGGAAATTACATTTTTATTGTTGCCATTGAAGGTATTTGAGGATTTAATTGGTTTCATTATTAATCCAAGCCCTGCACTGACAGCAACCAAAATAACTTCCAGCAATTTATTATACTTCCTGCTTATGAGCATCTGATCTCTAGAGATGATTAAAAAAAAAAAATTGGAGGAGAATTTGTGAAAGTGAGATGAGGACAAAAGGACAAAAGCAATTTTTAAAACTCCCAGGGACTTGACTCCTCTTAGACTTGATGTTTCTTTAGATGACACCAATGGAAGTAGCACTATTTTCACACCAGAGTCAGTATCTAAGAAGTGCTTTCTGTTGTTTATGGGCTAACTTTGTTCTGCTTTTCAATATTCAAGGCTTAGTAAAAAATTTAAATCTTTTTCTGAGCACAAACATCATTTATCTGGGATAATTCCCCTTATAAATATTTTATTAGTTGCAAGTAACTTCTCAGTGTCTCTCACAATCTTTTTCAGCTCAGAGGTCCCTAACATAACAAAACTAATAATGATGATTAATTATTATCAAAATAATTAATGATAATACAAAATAACTAATACTAAATAATTAAACATTTTAAAAATTTTGCTTACGTTTTTATTTGATTCTTTGGACTCATGTTAGGTATTTATTTGATTATGAATGCATGATACTTTGTGCATCTTTTATTCACCCTGATTAATTAAGGATTCTGTAAAGATGTGTGTTTATGTTGCGTGGATCAGTATTTCTCAGTCTTGCAACTGTTGAAATTTTACATCAGATAATACTTTTTATTTATTTGCCATACATAATGATCACATTTATCATAGGGAACTTGTACCTCTAAATTATACATCTTAGTTCTTCTTTTTGTGTCCATTCTCCTCCTTCTATTTTACCATTCTTCCCCTCCACACTTACAAAATTATTTTTTACTATTTTTTCCTTCCATTCTTTGCTTATCTGTAATCTATTTTTCCTTTCTTCCCTCCCCGCATCCTGTTCCCCTTCCCATTTGAACATGATTTTCCTACTTCCCAATGTCTGTCCTCCATTTTGTTCCTTATTTACCCTTAGGATTTCCCACATAAGGGAAATAATGTGATATTTAAACTTGCGTACTTGATTTATTTCATGTAAAATCATGGCTCAAGGTCCCTCCTTTTACCAACAAAGGACTCAAGTTTACCTTCTCTACGGAGAGTACTACTCCATTGTATATAAATACCACATTTTCTTTATCCATTCATTGGTGATGGGCCTAGGGCTGTTTCCAAGATGTAGCTATTATAAATTGTGCTGCTATCAACATGGGTGTATATATGTCACTATATTATACCTTTAACAAAGCACACATTCTTTTATATCTATTTTGATTAAACCAGTTAGCTGCTTGTTCTTTGATCAAACAGTAGAATTCTCCAATGTTTATAAATTTGGTTTTCATTGTGAAACACGGGTAGGTGCCTAAAAGGAGAATGGCTGGATCGAATGGAACCTCTATTCTAGTTTTTAAGGAATCTCTGTACTGGTTTCCACAGTGGTTTCAGCGGTCTGCACTCCCACCAACAGTGGAGAAGGATTCCTTTCTCCCCAGAGATCGGCCAGCATTTGTTTTGGACTGATTTCTTGATGATAACCATTCTTTCTGGGGTAGATGGGATCTCAGTGTTATATTGATTTTCATTTCTTGACTGACCAGTAATATTCACCATTTATTCATATATTTATTTGCTATTTGTACTTCTCCGTCTGAGAAGTGACTTTATTTCAGATTCCCATTTTTGGATTTAGTCTTTATATTTGGGGTCAATCTGATTCCTTTCAGTTCTTTATATATTCTAGATATTAGTCCTTGGTCTGAGGAAGAGCTGGTAAAAGTTTTTCCCATTCTGTGCGTTGTCTTCTGTTGGTGGTTTCTTTCACTGTGCAGAAGTTTTCTTTCTTTCTTTCTTTCTTTCTTTCTTTCTTTCTTTCTTTCTTTCTTTCTTTGTTTTTTTGAGACAGAGTCTTACTGTGTAGTGCAGGCTGGACTTCAACTCACTATGCAGCCCAGACTGGACTCAAACTCACAGTGATCCTCCTGCCTCAGCCTCCCAAATGTTAGAACAACAGGCTTGTGCCTCCATGCCCAGCCCAGAAGCTTTTTAATAAGATAAGAACCAGTTGTTGGTTCTTTGTAATATTTCCTATGCAACCAGGTATTTGTTCACAAAGTCATCACCTACACCTATGTCTTCAAGAGCTTCACCTATTCTATCTTCCAGTAGATTAAGTGTTTCTGTTTTTATATTTAGATATTTTAGATCAGACCATTTTAGCATGACTTCCTGAGCAAATTTTGTACATGGTAATATATTTAACAGAAACTCTGGCCTCTATCCATTATATGCCAGTAACACGCATCCCCTCAACCTGTGACACCTGTCTTTGACATCAAGACAAAATACCCAACACCTGAAAAATAAAGGACATGAGGTTTATTTTAGTTGTCATTTTATAGAGTTTTCAGTCCATAGTCAGCTAGCTCCAAGGCAGGAAGTCACGGTGGAAGGTCCTGGGCAGAGGAAGCTACTCAGTGTCAGGGCGGGAAGGCAGCTCAGCACAAAGGGAGGAGCCAGAAGGGAGATATATTTTTCTAAGCCAGCCGCTTCCTTCTAAAAATGAGTCAGCTATAAGCTCCACAATCTAGTCATCTTCCCCAGATCTTGCCTATGAATGCACAAGGCTTTGGGAGGACATCCAGAAGTAAACCATAACAATGCCCCAAACTATTGCCAGATATTGCCAAATATCTCCAAGAAATAGCCCACGTTGAGAACTAATCTTCTAATTTGCTCCCTAATATGTCTGTCTTTTGAATATACAGATTCTAAACCTTGACTCCTGATAGATCAGCATCTCTGGGCAAGGAATTGGGGACTACTTTTGTCTTTAAATGTCCTATGTGACTTTGATCCAGCCGCCATTGACTATACATATTTGGCATAGTGCCACTGGACATGCTATGCATTAATGGATATTTGCTGAGTTCATTATCCTAAAGAAACATAGTTTAGGATCATAGTTATTACTTAAACTCTTTCATATCACAAGGAGAAAAGAGACTTCAGCACATACTCAATGTTAAGAACTGTATAAAATCTTCTAATACCGAACAAATGCACATAGTAGTTTCTACAAGTTGCCCATTCCTTTTATTCTTAAAAATTCTTTTCCATTCTGATCACAACAGAGAACAAGTCTAAATGAATATTATAAATGTTTTTGTTTAGAACTGGTGAAAGCAAAGACAACTAATGCTTGGGGGCCAAAGAATTAGCTAAGATAACAATAGATACACACACAATACTTCCCGATTTGCACATCTGCTCCATAGCAGGTGGAGCTATTCATTGATTTTTGTTATTTTTTTGTTTTCTTTTTATCCACATCCTAGGAACAAAATCCACTGCCTATCCAGCCAACATCACCTGCATTTTCTTTGTTGGGAATATCGCACCCATTAATGATGAATATACAAATGCATTATCTTAAGTAGGGTCCAAGCTAATGTTATCTGAATTGCATGTGCAAGCTAATCAGTTCAGAGTCAATTTAGAGAACTTTTTGTTGCCAGGTTAATTTTTTTCCAAGTGCACTGAATAACATGACGAATTTTAAAGACCTTTAAAAGGCACTTCTATGTGACATACAATCCTCTAGTGTGTATAAATAAGGTTTTCTTCCCAGTGACAATAAACTTTCATTTTTTATTTTCTATCATTTGTTTTGAGTAAGTTTAAAATTGAAAGCTATGATAAATACAAATTTAATGGTACTTGAAAGTTTTAAAAACTCAATTTGAATACATTGCTTTTACAAAGGTGTATACTAAGCTGTTATTTAATGAAGAAAAGTGGAAGAAATTTAAAAAGTATAGCTATAGTATATGATGGAATTCACAGATACTGTAGTCTACGGGTAACTACAAACACTAGCAGTTTATGGAAATTAAGATAAGTTATTTAATTATTTTTCTTCAGTCTATCAAAGACCATCTACAACAAAGAGTGGTGAGAATTCTAAGGAGTGCCATTCCTACACTACAGTCTGAATAAATACTTCAATCATTATTTTTATTTTCCATTATGTTTATTTTTTCAATGCAAACAGGTTGGTAGTAGTTCTGCAGACCAAATTCCCTCTCTCTCTCTCCCTCCCTCTCTCTCTTTCTTTCTCTCACTCTCTCGCTCTCTCTCCCCTCCCCCCCCATGCCTCATTTGTTCCTTGGCCATTCTCATTATCTGAAGGGGAAAGAGAAAACTTTGCTTACATCTTCAACTCATTCTGACTCTACATTTTAAATCACCATTAATCAAATAAATCAGATATGACCTCAAACTCATTACATTAATAGGCAGAGCAAATCACATCCATCATTTCTGATCAAAGTCCTGTGGTAGTGGAGTCTAGTGGAAACACTGGAGGCCTCTAAGGCCTGCAGAATGTATACAGGCAGAGCAGTAAGTTTAATAGCAGCCGCCTAAACCTGAGGCCCACAGCTGTGCTAATGGCAGACCAGGGGGAGTGGTGATGAGTGAGAACCTCAGGACACGCAGTCCTCAGCTTAGAACAGGAATCTTGGTTTTTCAGATTTCCCAAAGTCTTGGATTCTAATTTCAAAAATGGAAAAAGAAATCATTAAAACTGAAAATATAAACGAGCTAAATGAAATATTTTTTTCTTAGGAAACATCTAATATGACATCATTTAATAAACAGTCTTTCAATGACTGTGTAGTGAACTACAGATGAGGGTAGGGAAATATTGAAGAACTAGAAGGTAATAAGGATGCAGCAAAGAAAGTCA